TCTATGATGAAAATTACAGGCCTCTCTCATCTTTTTAAGTGGGAGAACTTGCACAATTGGTGGCTGACTAAATACTTTTTTGCCCCACTGTATGTATCATATCAACCTATGTAGATAGCACATTTCACATAAAAATGGGGATGAAGACAGGTTCTATCGGCATATCATGAAATTTTGTTTAGCGTGGGGATCCCAGGTTCAATCAGTAGTATCTCCAATAGGTTCTGGGGTTCTGAAGGCTTCTTCCTGAGACTTTGAGTAGCTACAGTTGTTGGATTACCCCAGGCTGATTAAATGGGTTAATAACAGGGCTTGTTATGTATGAAGGCAGCTTGATCCATATATGATCATTTATGTCTTATGTCCTGAAACTCCTGCTGTTACTACTCTTTTAAAGCAACAGGAGGGAATGATTCTAGAAAAAAGCAAGGAAGTATTCTGTTTTCCTCTGTCTATCACAGAGGTTTTCCTGCAACTGCCTCCCATCCTCTATCACTACTTTTTAAATAGATTCATATTTTCTTCCAGGCTAATATTTGAATTTTTGTTTTGCTTTGTGATCATACTTATATTAGTAGGGTGGTAATTAGTAGTTAGCTATAATTCAATGACTTTACAATCCCAGCATAGAGATCTATAAAGATCACAGGAATTTATAGCTTGGCTTGTAAGTTAAAGGGAGACAAATGCCAGAGGGAGAAAGATATTGAGATTGTACTGCAGAGGCTAACATTTTTTTAAACCATTTGTTTCTATCATTTCTGTCTCCTAATCCAGCAGAATATATTGCTTCAAGTGACACATATTAAACAAGTACATTGTTCTATCATGCTGATTATTTTTAGAATGTATAACATCTTTCTTTGTTTATCTAGGAAAATGTTCTTACGGACGACATCAGAATATCAGCTTGGAAAGAGCAGGTTTTCCTATCTCATTGTGTCTTGCTGGCAAAGAGCTGCCAGGCTGCAATGGAACTGGCAAAGCATACTGCGGGAATTCAGAATATGGCGTTTAAGTATGGAAAGCACGTGTCTATGAGTCACAAGGTATGGCTTCCCTCTTCTTTAAAAGCTCTCTGAATGGCCAAGCAGCCAGCATTCTTTTTCAAGAGCATGTCTTTCTGTAGATAATGTATGTTTCTAAAAAAGCACCACACATTTAGTTCATTTGTAACTAAACTACATGGGAAGATATTTATATGAAGTATTTAACGTATCACAGCATTCATTTCTGTATACTAAATTACTAAATTACTCTCAAATTGAGACAGCTCTCAAAGAAGCCAACTAATCCCAGGAAGCTAACATGAGTGAATAGGAGGAGTGAACAGGAAGGTTTACAGGGAGCTCAGTATGGAATTTGAGGGAATCTGGGAGTTATGATAGGTGCCTGAGCATCTGTGGAAGGGGGACAAAAATGGGTGCTTGCCCGCCCTAGAAATTCTCAAGTACTTATTTATCTAGAAAATTGCATCCCACCTTATTCATAATATGTGTGGCAGGTAATAACAGTAATGTAACAACAGACGAATGAAACCTATCAACATAAAGATTCATTTAAAATATTAGAATAATCATATCTTAATAGCTGTCTAAAGATCAGCTGAAACAAAGTTTTTAACTGACTTTTTTTTTTAGATTTTTTTTATCCCATCTTTATTATTTTTATAAATAACTCAAGGCAGTGATCATACTTAATACTCCTTCCTCCTCTTATTTTCCCCACAACAACAACCCTGTGAGGTAAGTTGGGCTGAGAGAGAGTGAGTAGCCCAAAGTCACCCAGCCGGCTTTCACCTAAGGTGGGACTAGAACTCACAGTCTCCTGCTTTCTAGACATTTGAATGAGAGTTGAAGATGTTGGCCATTTCCAAAAGAAAGGTTCTTCGTAAAGTAGTTTCTGCCTTTATTTGCTGATTTTTAAATCAGAAATTTGCTCCAGTACCCACTCATCTGGCCACCCCCAAGTTGGTCAGTAAGAGGACTACATCTGAAACTGAAGCCATCCTACTGTAGTACAAAATCAGCTTGAGGTTGAAAGGTTTAATTATAAAAGGAGAGAGAAAAAGGAATGACTGTGGCTATTCTGGGTAAATGGAGCCATTTCTCTTCTTCCACTCTTGCTGGTCTGCCCTTGTATTGCTCTGGCAGCACAGGCCTTTCCCCTTCCTTTCCCAAGCAGACACTGAGAAGGGGAAGGGGACTATCATCATACTGTAACCTAGTCTTCAGAGCCAGGATAAGGGCGTTGCAGCATTTGCAGCTGTGTTGGTTTCTGCTGTCACAACAGTCACCTGGCTACAGTCACCCTGCCGGTCTTCTCTGCTGCCAGTGCTCTATTCTTGGTTGAATTAGCAACCATGTATGCTCTTGCCTGAGCAAAGAAGGGAAGAGAAGCTGGACAGGGCAAGTGACAACGCTGACTGCTGCAGAGACTTGCAGAAAAGACAGTCTCCAGATATCTTGTATAAGATGTGACTCGGAGTCTAGGGCTACTATATCCAGGCTGTATTCTGGACTACCACTAGATGGCAGCAACGAGAGAAGAAATGTCTAATATCTGGACTTTTGCAGCCCAGATCTGGAAGCTTTAATAAATGAAAATAACACCAAAAATTCCTTTTCTCAATTCCTCCACTACCCTACAGGCTGGGAGGAAACAAAGAAAGTTGTATATGTGAGAATGTATAGGTTTGGGTCAGAGAGAAAAGTGTGCTGCTTATTTTAATGGAAAGTGCACCGTAGCATTTTATCCAGAAGCCTCTGGGCAGAATTGTTCTCGCTTGCCTAGTTTATTTAGAATGCCAGAACATATGACTCCATTTCATTTGGCACGGTAATAGTAGAACGCCCATTTATAACAGTGGATGGCCATCATGTATACTGTGATATGGGCATTAGCAATAGAGGAAATCCTAGACCAGTGTTTCTCAACCTCAGCAAGTTTAAACCAGGCTGGGAAATTCTGGGAGTTGAAGTCCACATATCTTAAAGTTGCTGAGGTTGAGAAACACTGCAGACAACAGAAAATTGCTCAACTGTACCCCAGAAGGGCAGAAATGCCTGCTCCAGAAGTAACTTAGCTCAAAGTATAGCTGAACTTCATCAGATGAGTAAACTTAATGATTAAGAGGACAGCTCCTCTCATAGATAAATAACCAGCAAAAACAGGAGGTAGGAATAAATGGACATTAAGATATTATAGTACTTCTAGAATTAGGAGGACTCTCATGGTGGTGGGGTTTTTTTTTTTTTGGTTCTGTTTTCTTTGTGTAGCTGAAACAGGCAATTGCTACAACAGGTTTGCACAATTGTACAGAAGAGAAAGCAATAGCATATCCAAAATAAAGCAGTTTTTCTTCTCTAAAGAAGAATTTGATACTTTTAAATGTTTAGATTTTGTATATGGTATATTTCTTTTAAAACATTTTTCATTTTTAGTTCAGGCTCTGTGGGTATTCCATTCTGAATACATAGTTTCAACGCCTTATTTTGCAGTGTCAAATTAGGGGTCCATGTGTGGGGTTTCATATCTTGTGTTTCATTGGGCCCCCACTTTTCTTCAACTGGCATTATTTATCTTCACTTTAAGTGTAAGCCAGCTTAGCCAGGTATGTGTGAGCTATGTAAACATAAGTGTGCATATTATTAGATATAAGTTTTGAGAGGACTTGAGAGTTGGTTATGCTTTCATTCGGGCAATGTAAGTTCCATTAGTTCAGACAACAGAAACAAAAACCTGCTTCATTTTTATTAGGCTTTGCTATAGATATCAACAGTGGCATCAAAATTGGAAGAAGGTAATGATAACATCTGGACACATCATGAAGACAGGGTTAGTATCAGCAGAACCCTGTGCATCTTCCTTAGATGCAACCCCAGGACAATCATAAGAAAGCTCCAACTAAAAATACTGAGGTACCTACAATATACAACTATCACAACTGAAAGCCCCATTAGAACAGGTGAAACTGCTTACAAAATGCCAGTCCTCTTCAGAAAATTATGACTTCAGACATGACAATAGAGGCCCAAGAGCACTTGCTATGCGTGGCTTTCCAAATATTCTCCATGTTGGCACACTTGCTGTTTTGAAATGAGCTATATGTTATTACTGTGCATTCCCTCCAGCCAGTACCAAGAGGAAGGATATAGAGCATTTTTATTACCAACACTTGCAGCAATGCAAATACTTCATTTCACTTGGAGTGATAATAGTAGAACATCCATTTATAACAACGGATGGCCAGCAATTACATATTCTGCTGGCGTGTCGCTGTGACTGCTACAAGAAAGCAGTCAAAAAATGGGTGACATTCAGTAGTAGTTCATGTAAAGTTGTGTGATTTTCTCTTTGGCATTAGTGGGAAAGCATCAGTTAATCAACTTAAATCATATGTAAGAACAGTAGAGGAAAATAGCCAAAAATGTGGTCACTAGTTTCAGCCATCATATATTGCGGCTTCTATGATATTTCCCTTTGTAGCAAGACCTATTCTTCTGGTAACGTGGTGGACCTGTGCAGAGGCAGAGAAGAAGTCAAAAAAAAAAAAAAAGTGGGAGAGGCAGTGCTAAGTACAAGAACACCGAATGAGCTAATCCAGTTGTGCAGCCTAATTGTGAAGCAAGGTATTGTTGTGAGGCTAATATGTCCAGCAGATATTTTGGATCAGAGCAATTGTTTCTAGGATTAAGGTTTTTGGAAGAAAATGATGGGAATATATCCATATATAGGATTTTCTTAGATTTATTTCAGATCAAATAGCAGTAGGCATAGCCAACACAATCTTCCTTGCTTGTTCTGATTTTGAATTACAACTCAGTCAGTTAGCTGAACAAGACTACGATGGCAGGAAAGCAAGATGAGGATCCAGTACAGATTAAGGTATTCTGTCTGCAGACAACCTTTGTCCACTTTTCATCCTGTATTCTGAACCTTACCATAAACAAGAGCATAATGTAATTAATACGACTGTTTTCAACAACGACTAAAGGTTAACCGTCTGGTTTGTGTGTGCTAAATGCCCACAGAAAAAAGTTGAAGTTCTGTCCCCAGGAGAAATTGATTAAAAAAAAAAAAAGTTTGGCCAAGACCTTCAAAGATTCCTGTTCTTATTTTTTTTTAAAAAAAAATCATTCACTTTTATGTTTTTCTTTTAGAAAAATATTGTTTAAGAATTTAGTTTCTGTTTGTTACCTGTTAGTTTTGGAATGTATAATAGCTTTTCTAGGCTATGCTATACCAATACAGATATGGCCTGCCCTAAATCCTGTGCAGCCCACCTCTCAGTGCTTCACCCCTTTGGAACTCCCCTCCATGTGAGGCAAGATGTTCTCTTCACGTAGTGGTACAAGATAAGCTAAGGCTTTTCTTTTTCCTTGGTCTTTTGATATATAGTTTCACTGATTGTTTAACTGCCTTCCTCCTGATTTTAATTATTGCTGGCTATTTTTAAATTGTGGTACTTGTTGTTTTAATCTGGATTTATTCACCACAAAATATCAATTTCTTTTTGCATGCTGCTAAAGAAGTTTGAAAACAAAAAAATAAACAATGGACACTGTCCCTTTGCCCCCCAATTTATTTCTATAAATGCTCTTGGCATGCCTATATAGAAACCCAGCCCTATGGACAAAGGCCGCCCTATAAGAGTCAAGTTCAAAACAAAAGTGAAGTAGACAGCTGACTTTTAAAAATAGCAATAAAATCAGGCTAGTTGTTTATTTATGCAATTTCTATAGCTGCCTATCTCAATCCAAGTTGTTCCTTTGAAGCCAAGGTTCTTGTTCTAGGAAAGATGAGATGCGATTAACAACAGATTTTAATACTTGTTTCCAACAACCTGGCTGCTGATTTAAAGAAAGTGTATGATAAAAGTGAATAGGATTGAACTATGGAATGTTTTACAGAAATGCAGATTTGAAGATTGGTTCCTGGAAATGATGAAAGTAAAGCATGCATAACAGTAAATAAAATGCATAGCAAATAGTTCAACATTGAGCAGGGAGTAACACATGTATGTGTGATATCTCTTGGTTGTTTAATGTACTTATGGATACATATACTGTATATACTCACATATAAGCCCATCCATGGATAAACCAAAGCCAATTTTGGGGGTGTATTTTAGCATCTAAAATTCTTGGCTTATCCATTACTATATATGGTATAAAGAATTCTTGTGATACCAGAAGTGTGTTAGTTGGAAACTAACTAACTAAATATATACTACATATACTTGAGAATCTGAATGATTTGCAGTGAATACTACATAGATTGAATGATGCAGCAAGGAGTATACACCTGAAAATTAATGTATCGAAGACCAAGACAGTTGTGAACAATTGCACTGTACATAAATGGTGAAAAATTAAAGCTAATAGATAAATTAGTGTATTTTGGTAGAATGTTAAATAAAGGTGTGGAAATGGATGAAGAAATGTTCAGATATGCAAATGCTGATAGAAGAGCAATGGGAAGAATGAATATTTGTCAAAATAAGGAAAAATGGCTGTAAAGAAAAGTGTGATTCTGCCTACTTTAATATGCGGAAGTGCGAGTTGGATATGTCAGGAGTGGTATAAAAGAAAACCTAATGCAATGGGAATTAGTTACTCAAAGAGTGTGCATGTGTGATGAAACAAGAAAAGATAGGGTCAAACAAGAATGAATAGATGATGAATGAATATAGACTGAATGCAAATGTGCAACCAATAGAAAAGGAATATGTTGATGTGGTTTGTCATATAAAGAGAATGAATGAGGGTCAAACAAATGTATGAAGTGAATAAATTGAGAGGAAGTGGGAGATTGAGGCAGTCATGTTTGAATGGGGTTGATGAGATCCTCAAAAAGAGAGATGAGATGATCAAAGAACAAAAGGCAGTTTATGGATTAGTGTGTAGACATGACAGGAGCAAGGATGGAAACTTATGGATAGATATAGTGAATGGTGTTAGGGTAAGGTCAGTTTAGTTAGATTTCCAGTTCTTTGCTCTTATCTTCTGCCTTTAATTTTGTTTTACTTTTCTGCACTTTGCATTATGTTGCTTAACCTGAAGAGAAATAGCATGATGGAATGTGTACTTGTATATACCCATATATATATATAGATGACAATACAGGAGAGCTGATTGAAACCTCATATGATTAGTATCCCCAGTTGCACTGTGTTACTTTCTCCCTTATTAATGAGTTGACATTCACTCCTATTCAAGGAGTTAACAATCTTTTCAACCCAGGGTATCCCCATCAGAAAAGTCACTTCAAATTTCACCAGATTTTGATTACTTTTTAAAATTTACTTTGTGGCCTGCAAGTCCAAACCTCCAACATTTGAAATAAAATTATGTATATGGAGATAATGTTTTGGTAGGAACAGAACCTGACTTCCATCCCTGATATTCACAGAGATCCTATGCTATTTATATAGTGTTTGCACAGACTATATAGTGTTCTCACAGACTTCTTCAAAATATGCCTCTTGTTAGATTTTAATCAGATGATAGAGACAGGAATAGCCTGAAAACCTCTGAATAGTGTGTATTGGTTCAAGGCATTGTATCTGGTCTTATGCAATTTATATTTTTAAAGCCTTACATAATATTAGTTGTTGATGAAATGCATTTCCTTTGGAAACTAACTTATTAATTTTAATCCCCCTCTTTCAGCTAAATGTTGATATTCTGCCATTTATTAGTGGAAATTCGAATGATTCCCTGGCATTTGGCTTAAATTCTGCTCCTGTAGTATTCCATCAAGAGTTTGTTGGAAGAGAAGTCTGGATTAAGCAAATTAAAGAGGTAAGTAAATAGCTATATCTATAGTGGCTATGTTTGTACATCTTACTAAATCATAATTATCCCCTCACATCAATTTGTTTTTAAAAAATCATAGTTAACCACAGCTATAGTGTCTGAACCCAATGATTCAGTTTCATGAAGAATGTTATTGTTATAATTCTCTTTTCTTCCATTTGAAGAATACTAAGAATTTATAAAAAGAAATAGTTTTCCTACTTCTGTATGTTTATTATTTAGTACAGTTAGAAATTAAATGTGCTACTGTTGAGTGTGTGTATGTGCATAAAGTCTATGATTCTTATGGTAATTTCTTTTTAAAATTCATTCTGTTAGACTCAATTTTATTAAAATACAAAAATAAATGTAATTTAAAATATGCTTGCCTTCCCTACAGTTTTAGTTTTACAATAATTGAATACTTCTAGCATAGAGCAGAGGGAAAGAGCTGCTCATGCATGTATGATTACAATTCAAAACACAGCTGGTTGGGCAAACGTTAGACTACTAGCTTTGATATTATTGCTTATGTTATGATTGTGATTCCTTCCCAAAAGCTATCTTGAGTGAAGCATTTTAATATAAACCTTGATATAAGTCTTTTAATAAACGACTCTTTATTCAATGGATACTTAAATGGGAAATAAGGCAAAAGTCCCTGCGTTGCACCCTTCCTTCTTTTGTTCTTCCCTTCCTGGGGAACCCTTCAAAAAGTTTGACAGTGTGTATTTTCCACATTGAAAGCCCTGTTTTTGTGTAAGGCTGATCCTTCAGAGTTGTATTTGCTACTATAGGTTACATGGAGGGGTGGACATAATATGCTTGCTCCCACTCTTTCTCATGTGACTGTAATTGCATAGAGGAAAATAATGCTGAATATGGCTAAGGGCCATGCTTCATTGATCCATAAACTCATCACAGCCTTTCTCAGAGGCAAAACAAAGAGTTCCACTTGAGAACTAGTTGAAAGAACCCATTTCTTTGTGCAGTGTGTATCGTGTCCACTCTGAAAGATGTCAGTAGAACAGAGAGTAGTAGACACCTGACAAGCCAAATGTGATCCTCAAACCTGATGAAATTGATGTGTTTTCTATTTAGCACAACATGCTAGATCTTTCTTACAGTCTTGTGCAGCTTATGATTTACAGAGTTGTAATAAAATAAATTTTATTTGTTTTTCTTACACTGTTTAAGGCTCAAGGCAAAGGAGACTTAATAGACTATAGCAAGGTGAGTAGCTAAAATATGTCTTCATTCTAAAGACTTGTTAACTTTTATGTTTAAAGGAATATATGAATGAACCTCAGAATTACTGTTACATTATTTATTTCATCTCACATTTCAATCACAAACTGCCTCATAAAGCAGCTTACAGCAATTACAGTACCATGTGTGTGATACAGGTATATAAAATGCAATAATGGAGCAGGACTGGATTTTCAGCTGAGTCTGATTTCAGGCATGATAGACTCAGAATTGGATGCATTTGCAAAGTAGCATGATAATCAGGTGTACAGCCAACAAATATTCATGTACCTGGGTTTGTTTCTTATTGCTCCTGTGTATTACTGATGAAATTATTATTGTTCTTGTTTTCAGAAGGCTTATTAGAATCAGATTTGAGAGCCTCTAGGCTAGTTATATTGTAATCATTTACTTTTGGGGAATACTTGTAACTACAGCTTGTGTGCACAGCTACCATAGATATTTTATGCCAATTTTATTTGCCAGTCCTCTATCCCAAAATTTAACTGTAATAAAATAGTGGTGATGGGAAGAGCTTCCACTAGCCTGGACTTGCCTGAATGGACATATGTTCAGAAATGCCTGCTGTTTCACAAAATTTGGTAATGGAACCATTTTGCTGAGGGTAGCTGGAAAGTCTCATTTTCCAGAATCTCCAGGGAAAATGGGTGATTCACATCAGTGCCTGGTTGTTATAGATCAACCTGCTGCTGTTTTTGTGAGCCTTTTTCATTGTTACTTTTGCCTTTGAAAGGCAAACTGAAAGAAAGGCATCTGGGAGACAGACAGAACACACGTGTTTGAGCCCTAATGAGCAAGGCTTAACGTTTAGTAGACCTGTTGATTCTGTAATGGCCTTAAGACAGGGTGAATTTGCTAGTGTAAGCACATCATATACAAATTTTGATCCTGTGCCTGTCAGCATCCAAGCTCTATCCTCCTGTGACTGCACACTGAAAACTACAAATGGCTGTTTGAGAAGGCCACCATACTGAACTGTGAATGTGAGTGCCTTGAGTGAGTATTTTCTGTCCTACATACAGTAGGTGCTTCATCTTTAGATATGCCAAGCATAGCATTTATAGGAACGTATGAAATACCGTACCTTTAACAAGGACCTTTAGTGGTGATAACTATTGTTTCTATCACTTTGCTTGAATTTTATGTATGTTAAGTTTCAAAACCTGTCTGATACTGTAGGTTTAATTCATATCTCTTACTAATGTTTGATAGTCTGGTTTGAATCTCGTTAACAGAAGTTGAAACAATCTTACAATTCTCATTGCGGAGCAGGAAGAAAGCATTCTCATTGTTTAGTATACATTGTGGAGAACCCATGAGATTCATAATCTATATGGATAATAAAAAACATGTTGAAATTGGGATGGAACTTCTATGTTATTGTTAATAATTATGATACTCTATTGTTCTATAAAACACTCTGCTATTGTTCTAACATAACAAAAACAAAGGAAAAGGAAAGTGTTAATTTTGTGCAAGTAACCACAGTAAAGATTACTTGAGACTGTAATCAATCCTACAGTCTATTTTCAGTTTGATACACATGATGCTATTGTGGGAGATACATCGGGAGCTAGAGTTTCTCTTGGCAGGAATGCCAAATATGTCAATAACCAACTGCTACCTCACAGAAAGCGTGAGAAACTCAAAGCAAGGTGTCCATTAAGCCGTGGGAAAGGCAGGAGAAAGAAGTGCTGGCTTTAAATTGTGAGGGAGCAATAAAGGATTGCATCCACATTTTAACAGAGGGCAATCAACTAATTTAAGTGGCTTCAGTCCAGTGTGCAATAAAGATTCTTAATTAGCTCTGCCATGTCAAATGTCCGGGTAGCTTCTGCTGAATTAGAGCTAGCTCAAGGAAGGAACCTGACAACTACTTTGCCCCATGCTGAAGTTCCAGTTTCCTTTAATATAGAAATTTTAACTTTACAAGTAAGTTCTGACTTGGGTTCCCCACTCCCAAAATGCAAAGTCCTGCAACATGTATTTTGCATTCTACAGTATCCTTTTTCTGTAGAAGATTTTTGCTTATTTCAAAAGCCTACTTTAGATACTACTATGAGAAGCCATAGTACTGATACTTAATCTGTGAAGACTAGTTAATTTTTCTAGAGAATGGTGACTACATGCAAATCAATTATCCACGATGACATGTTTGATATCCTATTCGGCGGGGGGGAGGAATTCTTTCCCCTTTAGATTCCCATGACCAAAAAGGAGTAAAAGATACAGGTTAAATGTGAAAACATTAGGAGCGGTGCTTGAAAGCGCTTTGCTGAGAGTGTATATCCTCAAAACCTGTATACTGCCTGTGATTCCTCTTTGCAGGTGTAGTCTTTTTTTCTGATCAGAAATTAAGAAAATGAACAGTACTGGATATAACTGTATGTAAGGAAATGATATAATTATATGTAAGGAAATGACAAAGGGTTCCTGAAAATGGCATGGTGTGAAGTAAATAAATATAGCAAGTGTAGATAAGGTTGGGCTTACACAGTATCTTGAATTGCAAACATTTTAATCCATAGGATAAATTTTAGTTGCATGATTAAGTTAGAATTTACTGCTGGTCTCTTCATTTGCAGCAATCATCAGATTACTGATTATTACTCAAACTAGTGGTCTGTTAGTATCTCCCCTTCCACATTAAAAATTTAGTGCTATAGTCAGTGCCAGTGTGCAAAGCAGACACTTTTTTGGAAAACTCAGTGCAAGTGTAATCTGTACATCTATGCACCCAGAGAGACAACCAGGGGCATTTTTCAAAGCAGCTGTGTGAGCCCTGCAAAAGTTACGGCTACTTTATTGAAAAAGATGGTGATTCAAAAGGTGCTTCATTTGCACCAATTTTTAAACACAACTTTAGCATTCTTCTGGAAGAGCACTAAACCCACGCGCCAAATCAGCCCAAACAACAGCTGACAAAGGGGGAGGGTGTGGTTGCATTGTGAAGCAGAAGGGAGAAGGCCAGCTCTTTTTCCATTCCATGACACTGCCACCACCACCACTAGATAGGTGCTATTTGGGCCAGTCCAGGTCTCCAAGCTGAGATTGACTTAGGGACCAAGCAGGTAAAGAGAGAGAGCTCATTCTGAAAGAAATGTCCAAGGCTGAATGGTTCTGGAAGACCGTACCCAGGGAGCAGAGGGGAGGGGTTGTGCCCACAGCAGCAGCCAAAAATGGCTAATCGATGCCAGGCTGATCCAATTGCCCTACAGTTACCTTAACAGCACCACTGATAAAATGGTCACAGAAGAACATCAGATTGTATCCGCAGTAAAACTGCCGTAACTTCTTGCCTGCTTAAGCACTACTTTAAAAGTAAGTACACTAAGGTTGCCTTAGGTATGGTTGGGGATGAGATGAAGGCAGCATCATGGGGACTTAGTAGAAAAAAAAGGCTGTTGAGAGCTGCTTCTGCCATGTCTGGGTGCACATGTGGATAAAATGGTATGTATCTTTTTTGCATTTATATGACTACAGTGTCAGGCCATAATTAAAAGTAATACTAAAAAAACATGTACTCAGTCTCACAAGTAAATACATTTGAATTGTTTGCAGTAATTTTCTAACTTTGCTCTGATTCTGTAAGCAGATTCTGGAGCACTGCTTTTCCTGTATTAATATATTTCTTTGATAATATATTTCTATAAGTAATTTATGCAATTGCTTCAGCTGGCTATTTAAGAAAAAATCTATCTTACTGAACCTTTCTTCTTTGCCATTTGAACTTCATAGCTTCACACTCTATGATCCAAATAAAGATTAAGAATCCAGATTTGGCAGCACAAATCTGCTGTAGATAGTTTCCTAATTTCCCTGGAGCCCTTGAAACTTTCCTATTGGAGGTGGGAAATCCTTTGGAAACATGAGGAAGTGGTGCTGCAGACCACACTGGAAAAAGGAAATTAGCAAAGTCGCATATCTGATGCCTACCAAGAGAATTCCTTCACTGAATCAAAAGTTTCCTATAGCCAAAATGAGACTTTCTATTTGTTAATGGTGAAATCTGGATCCAACCCAGTAGGCATAGTTTTGTAGTAAAATTATACTCCCTATATATAATAAAAGAGTCAAACTGTTAAATATTTGGCAGTATTTGTGCAATTTTGTGTTTTGACAGGAAGAGTGATATTATAGCAGAGCCAAAAAGTTGTATAAAATGAAGCACTTTAAATAAATGTTTGTCCAGCTGCCATTTAAAAAGGAGGAAGAGGTTAAGGAGTGAAGCCACAAACACCAATCAAATCTATAGTAAGAAATACGGAAACATTCCAACTGTAACAAGGAAAAATAAATCTATTAGCTACAAATTGTATTGGCCTTATTTCAGGCTAACAGCTTGGTAGACTAAATATCAGCACTTAGCGAGGCAGAAGGTTCTCCACAAGAGAAAAATAAAATTAGAAAAGCATGGCAAACTCTTAATAGATTAGGTACTTTCTTGACCACAAATCAATTTTAGGTTTGCTTCTTTTCTTTTCTTTTCTTTTTAGCAAGTTATGAGGTTTGATATAGGATGCCATTTAAGTACCCAATTAAGAAGGCTGAGAACCAAATGAGAGCAAGAGAGCAGGGAATGGTTGATCTGAGTGAGAGTCAGGTCACTGATTAGAGCAGGAAACTTTTGCTTCTGAAGTTTTCTGCAGTTAAGAATTGTTCTGTGATTTTGATTTGCTCTAAAGATGGATAAGCTTGGATTCTGTTTATATTTGAGAGACTGGTGTAGTTGTATACATTTGCTTTCCTGGATATGGTAGATGCAAAGTTTATTCAGATGTGGGAACAGCAAGAAGGTTGAAGCTCCAAATAAAGAATGCACATTGAAGTATGAGTTTGCAAAAGCAAGGGTAGCTGGATTTGGGCTATTCCTTTTTTCTATTTGTTTCAGTTTGGGCAGACTTTTGTAGCATTTTGTCAGTGCCTCTTCTGTATAGGAGACTAATAAGAATCAACAGATTTTT